AGAGCGAATATTTTATTGGGACGTTTATCTATATGGCGGACCCCTTCAAAAATGCGAGTGCTTGGCGTCGAGTTCGCCTCGCGCTAAAAAAATGGACAAAGCTGAATTTTCAATATATATATATACTGCCAGAGACCCAGTTTAACCAGCTTTCATGATTTAGTTTTTAAAAGTTTGTACAATTTAAACTTCTTATAGAGATCTTCAAATAGAAAATTTTGGACACCTGAAACGGGGCACCATTTGCAATCACCCGCGTGGATAAATCTTCCATTTTACCGTTCTAAATCTATTTTTTTATGACAACTAACCTTAAGATTCCGAATCCCTAGATATCCCCGCTTCTTTTTATATATCTATCGTTTAATTACATCAACTGTTGACAAAACTACACATGAAAATACGAAGAGTTCAAAAGTCGTCCATTTTCACTCGATTTTGCTGAAAGTAGTGCCAAAATGGCCGTCCCTTCAGACAGTGTGCACGCGCAGCTCGAAATCTGCGGACAGACTCATTGGCAAAGTGTTCATATTCCTGTGAAGTCAGTGTAAAAGTCGGCAAAATTGATTTTTTCAAGTGCAGTAGGTTACTGTGATTATGTATCGCAGGAAACGCAAAATACTTTCAAACAATTACATCCTGCAGAAAGATAAGATCATAAACTTTCAAATGATATATCATAAGGTATGTCTCCTACAATTTTAACCCATTTTGTGTGGGGAAATTAGTGTATCTCCAAAACGACGACAAAAATGGAACCCTATTTTCATCATAATATATAGCGTCACGTGACCAACCTGAAGCACGTCCCGACTTGGCAAGACTACAAGTTTTCTTAAATATTCTGAATATCAGATCAAAAAAGTTACAATAAAATTAAAATACGAACAAGTGCTGTACATCTAACATCAGAAATATTCCAAGAGTAATATGCTTCATTCTTAAAACATTAAAAATTGCATAGTTATGATTCACTCCACAAGAAATCCAGTGTGAATTTTGACCAATATAGAAAGATATTGCTTGATCTAGTTATAAATAAAACAAGATTTTTTTTAATTGGGTAAATATTTACAATGAGGTATATGGCCAGGTTGTACTTTTTAAAGCCTGAAAGGGTTTTGATAAAAAAAATCATTCAACACCGGTTTATTCATTATATTAAGATCTGCACTTCTGCCTTGTTCTCTTATTTTACTGCTCAAGATTTATTTCTATGTACTAGTACTATATTTTTGTCTCTTACATATTTAACTATTCAAAACTA